GTGACTGTTACTAATCAAAATGGTCAGAGATCGTGGTGAAATGATTCAAGTAGTGCCTCAGTATATTCATGCGTGCAGTAATTGACACGGACAGAATATCTTGTAGTTATGAATGTATATACACGAATCAATATATGTGTAGATATTTCCATCTATATAGATATAGATATATAGAAGTGCAGAATGGATTTGGAGCAATTGACCAAGCATAGAGCGAATTGTTGGGGTGTTCGTTGACAAGGATAATGAATGGGTTGGTGTGATTCGGAGGTGTCTGTAGTAGTTGGGAATATGTTGATGTTACTTGATAATATGTGTGATTTTCAGGTGTCGTGCTAGTTATGTGGTAGTCGAAGTTGTAGTGTCGGTGTTTGTTGTTGATGTATAAATGTGGTGTTTGTAAGAGTGGATGGAGTCAGTTGTAGGACGTGGATTGTTTGTGTTTGTTTTGAGGTGATGTTGTGTGTTTGTTGTAGGATATTTGTGAGTTGTATTGTGATGAGTTTGGTGTTGGTGGCACACGGATGCGCCTCCATAGCTCAGTGGATAGAGCACTGGTCTAGTAAACCAGGGGTCGGGAGTTCGATCCTCCCTGGAGGCAGTGTGTTTGCAACCACTTCGAATTGAGATCATGTCCCAGTCGTGCTAACTTTACTAACTGTCACCACTGATCACCAACCCTGACGAAACACACTCGTCCCTGTTCAACTCGAAACTCACAAGTTCACATACAATTAGGCATCGACTCCAGTCAACTAAACCACTAACAAGACGATCAATCAATTGGAACACTGGAGCTGATGATATTATATACCCAGCTGTCAACAGCACCGTCATAGTCTATCGTCAGTTGGACTCAGTGGAAATAATTGGGGAGCTCCCGTCCGGTTAATTCTAACACGAACTCATTCAACGAGAAGCGTTGAATGTTGAGCGATGCACAGAGAGAGAGAGAGAGAGAGTGAGAGAGAGACGAGCGTACCAACGGAAACCTGTTTTTCACTCGACTCCGATACATTTGGAGCATATCATGTGAGATTATTATCTCGACAGAATTGTGCAACTGTTTGTGTAGATCGGCGACACTTTTGTCAGGGGTTAGGCGTCGACCTGTTGAAGTGTGGATAGTGGAACTGAGCATTCGGTAGGTTGGTGTGCGTGGTGATGCGACTTTCTCTCTCCCCAGAACAGTTCGTCTACACAAACATTTGACAGATATTCTCAGACACACGTGACACAAATGGATAAGTTCTGATGAGACTTGTTGGTAAAACAGAGTTTAGACGGTCTGCATAGACCACGGAAGAAGTGAACATCAGTTGTCACAGGCTTCTCCACGGATTGCCACCACGTCGTCATCTGGTTTGCATGAGACGTTCGTCAGTGATCTTCCGTGTCTGGTAGGATTAGGGTTTCAGGTGAGTGTGTGAAACGTATGCGCTGATACGAGCTAGTCATGTGAGCAGGCGTTTCAGGTTGGCTTGTGTTGCAGCATGACAACTTGTTGTGGAATTACAAGATACATGACGATGGTCAGATATCAGTCTGTCTATGAATTGGCGAGCTCGGTGTGACGTATTTCGCTCTGAATTTGCTCATGTCTTTAGAACATGGGATTTGCGGATTGTTATTATCCTACTGTGACTGTTACTAATCAAAATGGTCAGAGATCGTGGTGAAATGATTCAAGTAGTGCCTCAGTATATTCATGCGTGCAGTAATTGACACGGACAGAATATCTTGTAGTTATGAATGTATATACACGAATCAATATATGTGTAGATATTTCCATCTATATAGATATAGATATATAGAAGTGCAGAATGGATTTGGAGCAATTGACCAAGCATAGAGCGAATTGTTGGGGTGTTCGTTGACAAGGATAATGAATGGGTTGGTGTGATTCGGAGGTGTCTGTAGTAGTTGGGAATATGTTGATGTTACTTGATAATATGTGTGATTTTCAGGTGTCGTGCTAGTTATGTGGTAGTCGAAGTTGTAGTGTCGGTGTTTGTTGTTGATGTATAAATGTGGTGTTTGTAAGAGTGGATGGAGTCAGTTGTAGGACGTGGATTGTTTGTGTTTGTTTTGAGGTGATGTTGTGTGTTTGTTGTAGGATATTTGTGAGTTGTATTGTGATGAGTTTGGTGTTGGTGGCACACGGATGCGCCTCCATAGCTCAGTGGATAGAGCACTGGTCTAGTAAACCAGGGGTCGGGAGTTCGATCCTCCCTGGAGGCAGTGTGTTTGCAACCACTTCGAATTGAGATCATGTCCCAGTCGTGCTAATTTTACTAACTGTCACCACTGATCACCAACCCTGACGAAACACACTCGTCCCTGTTCAACTCGAAACTCACAAGTTCACATACAATTAGGCATCGACTCCAGTCAACTAAACCACTAACAAGACGATCAATCAATTGGAACACTGGAGCTGATGATATTATATACCCAGCTGTCAACAGCACCGTCATGGTCTATCGTCAGTTGGACTCAGTGGAAATAATTGGGGAGCTCCCGTCCGGTTAATTCTAACACGAACTCATTCAACGAGAAGCGTTGAATGTTGAGCGATGCACAGAGAGAGAGAGAGAGGCGAGCGTACCAACGGAAACCTGTTTTTCACTCGACTCCGATACATTTGGAGCATATCATGTGAGATTATTATCTCGACAGAATTGTGCAACTGTTTGTGTAGATCGGCGACACTTTTGTCAGGGGTTAGGCGTCGGCCTGTTGAAGTGTGGATAGTGGAACTGAGCATTCGGTAGGTTGGTGTGTGTGGTGATGCGACTTTCTCTCTCCCCAGAACAGTTCGTCTACACAAACATTTGACAGATATTCTCAGACATACGTGACACAAATGGATAAGTTCTGATGAGACTTGTTGGTAAAACAGAGTTTAGACGGTCTGCATAGACCACGGAAGAAGTGAACATCAGTTGTCACAGGCTTCTCCACGGATTGCCACCACGTCGTCATCTGGTTTGCATGAGACGTTCGTCAGTGATCTTCCGTGTCTGGTAGGATTAGGGTTTCAGGTGAGTGTGTGAAACGTATGCGCTGATACGAGCTAGTCATGTGAGCAGGCGTTTCAGGTTGGCTTGTGTTGCAGCATGACAACTTGTTGTGGAATTACAAGATACATGACGATGGTCAGATATCAGTCTGTCTATGAATTGGCGAGCTCGGTGTGACGTATTTCGCTCTGAATTTGCTCATGTCTTTAGAACATGGGATTTGCGGATTGTTATTATCCTACTGTGACTGTTACTAATCAAAATGGTCAGAGATCGTGGTGAAATGATTCAAGTAGTGCCTCAGTATATTCATGCGTGCAGTAATTGACACGGACAGAATATCTTGTAGTTATGAATGTATATACACGAATCAATATATGTGTAGATATTTCCATCTATATAGATATAGATATATAGAAGTGCAGAATGGATTTGGAGCAATTGACCAAGCATAGAGCGAATTGTTGGGGTGTTCGTTGACAAGGATAATGAATGGGTTGGTGTGATTCGGAGGTGTCTGTAGTAGTTGGGAATATGTTGATGTTACTTGATAATATGTGTGATTTTCAGGTGTCGTGCTAGTTATGTGGTAGTCGAAGTTGTAGTGTCGGTGTTTGTTGTTGATGTATAAATGTGGTGTTTGTAAGAGTGGATGGAGTCAGTTGTAGGACGTGGATTGTTTGTGTTTGTTTTGAGGTGATGTTGTGTGTTTGTTGTAGGATATTTGTGAGTTGTATTGTGATGAGTTTGGTGTTGGTGGCACACGGATGCGCCTCCATAGCTCAGTGGATAGAGCACTGGTCTAGTAAACCAGGGGTCGGGAGTTCGATCCTCCCTGGAGGCAGTGTGTTTGCAACCACTTCGAATTGAGATCATGTCCCAGTCGTGCTAACTTTACTAACTGTCACCACTGATCACCAACCCTGACGAAACACACTCGTCCCTGTTCAACTCGAAACTCACAAGTTCACATACAATTAGGCATCGACTCCAGTCAACTAAACCACTAACAAGACGATCAATCAATTGGAACACTGGAGCTGATGATATTATATACCCAGCTGTCAACAGCACCGTCATGGTCTATCGTCAGTTGGACTCAGTGGAAATAATTGGGGAGCTCCCGTCCGGTTAATTCTAACACGAACTCATTCAACGAGAAGCGTTGAATGTTGAGCGATGCACAGAGAGAGAGAGAGAGAGAGAGAGAGAGGCGAGCGTACCAACGGAAACCTGTTTTTCACTCGACTCCGATACATTTGGAGCATATCATGTGAGATTATTATCTCGACAGAATTGTGCAACTGTTTGTGTAGATCGGCGACACTTTTGTCAGGGGTTAGGCGTCGACCTGTTGAAGTGTGGATAGTGGAACTGAGCATTCGGTAGGTTGGTGTGCGTGGTGATGCGACTTTCTCTCTCCCCAGAACAGTTCGTCTACACAAACATTTGACAGATATTCTCAGACACACGTGACACAAATGGATAAGTTCTGATGAGACTTGTTGGTAAAACAGAGTTTAGACGGTCTGCATAGACCACGGAAGAAGTGAACATCAGTTGTCACAGGCTTCTCCACGGATTGCCACCACGTCGTCATCTGGTTTGCATGAGACGTTCGTCAGTGATCTTCCGTGTCTGGTAGGATTAGGGTTTCAGGTGAGTGTGTGAAACGTATGCGCTGATACGAGCTAGTCATGTGAGCAGGCGTTTCAGGTTGGCTTGTGTTGCAGCATGACAACTTGTTGTGGAATTACAAGATACATGACGATGGTCAGATATCAGTCTGTCTATGAATTGGCGAGCTCGGTGTGACGTATTTCCCTCTGAATTTACCGATGTTAACATATATATATATATATATATATATATATATATATATATATTTGTCGTTTTATTTATATTTATTTTTTTAATGTTGATATATATCTTTCACTCACGTTTATTTTTCTTTTTCTTTTCCGCTAATCATTATAGAATTTCTGGGATTTCAACTGAATGTGTTACCGGTCCTTTGTGTCCTGTTCCTCAATTAGATTTATCATGTCTTTCTGTTAATTCTGATGATGACAATAAATCATTTACTACGACTGGGGGTTTTGAATCTAATCAGACTAGAGATGAGAAATACTTAGTAAGTCAAAAATTTTATTTCCTATTTTATCATTCAATGAATTGAAACAAAATCGTTGTAAAAATATTCATTTCTATTTATCTGCAATATATTTTTTGATGGTACACATTTATGGTGAATAAAATTATAACGCATCATGTTTTAGTACTTCAAGTTAGTTCACTGTAATAATGATTCCACAGTATTACACTGTTTAAATTGTTTAAATTTTCAATAGTATTCGTTAAATTGTCAAATAATGTACATTCGTTTTCATTAACATTTGTGTGTTGGCGTCAATGCTTGACTAAGTACCTTCAATTAATTTATCTTCAGAAAATTAACTATGTCAGAACGATATATTAAATACTTATTGAACTATTTATTGAAGAGCATTATTGAAATCTGTTAGTTTAGGTTTCCATACATTACTTCATTATTTGTTTGGAATACGTTTCATAATTTTGAAAGTACTGTAAAATGTGATCTGACATGACCAATATACAGGTAGATTATGAGAATTATAAATTTTCCAAAAGTATTATCAGTCTTCTTACTATGCTATGAACACAAAATCTATCATGTTGGGGATTGCGAACGGAGATAGAATTTGGAGTGTGTACTACGCTCTATTTGGAATTTATCAACTAAAGCTACCCACATCTACTTTAAAGTTCCTACTGAAACTAGAGTTATTGTTCAACGGCTAACACAGTAGAATATTACACATGCCACTGAATCTATTATTTTCGATGATGAAATATGTGACATAGTTACATTTTGATTGGGAAATTCAGAATGATTACTGGTAAAGCCGAACTGTAATCTCAAACATCCTTGGGATCAGAACCTCTTTAGTCTGTCAGGAGTCAGCAAAAATAAATAAATTACTCACGGCGCTAGGACTCGAGATATATAGTTTATGAACCTTGGGTTAGATTTGATGTCATTTTGTAATGTGAATCTCAACCCCCAATCTTAATTTGTATTCTAAACAGGAGTTTCTAAACTCATTTTAATGAATAAGCCTTGAAATCAGTTTTTAGGATCATCATCTGTCGGATAGTATTTATCCGTTTTGTCAGATTAGTTCGGATGTGAAATTGGTTTTCGATTGAGTTTTGTTCTCTGAGTTGGATGGTTTGGTCGTAGAACTTTCATCGTTCTTCGAAACGACATCATCAGCACAAACTTCAAGTAAAAGTGAAGTGTTAGAATTCTCCCACATATGGTTCACAGCTTGTCCTGTACATCTCGATGTTGATTAATTCTTGTTGACCTTAAGCCTGTCATTGTCAAACATAGGGACAAAAATCAAACCAATGGGAGACACAACCAAAGAAAAGAAGTAAATAATGACAGGCCTAAGTTCAACAAGAATTAATCAATATTGAGGTCTACAAGACAAGCTGTGAATCACATGTGGAGCAAACCTAACACTTCACTTCTATCTGAAGTTTATGTTGATGATGTCGTTCAGAAGAGTGATGAAGGCTCCACGACTAAACCATCCAACTCAAAGAACAAAACTCCATCAAAATCATCCACCTAAACTACAAATCTTCTCCATCTTCTCGAAATTCGTTCTCATCACATAATGATATTAACTTGAGAAGTAGTAAGAATTAAACAACATCAAATGGTACTAAACCACTAAATTTCAACTCATCAATCTCAAGATAACAGAATGGTAGCCGAACTTGTTATAGATTATAATTTGAATATCATTATGGATGTGGATCATTGAATAGTTTTATACTAAAACAAAACAGCTGTCCAATGTTAACTAGACTTCTATAGCTAACTATAAACAATTAAAATCAACATAATAATATTCAATGTAGTGAGTAAGTCTCGTTATAACTTCTTTTCATTCTTTTTATACTCCAGATTTTTCCTTTTTTTTTCTTTTCATAGATGAAATGTACATTTAATGCATGGTATCAATTAATTTATAATATAAAAATTCAATTTACAATGTTACAAGCTAAAAATGAATTTCATTTAAAAAAAACTTATTTTAATTATTGGAAATTACAAATTCATCAAATTAATTATAATCGTGATATTGAAAAAGCTAAATTAGATTCGATAGAAATAATCAAGTAAGCTCCATTCCAAAAATATTATAAATACCCCTCCTCCTCCTCCTCCTCCTTATCCTACTACTACTACTACTACTACTACTACTACTACTACTACTACTACTACTACTACTACTACTACTACTACTACTACTACTACTACTACTACTACTACTACTACTACTACTACTACTACTACTACTACTACTACTACTACTACTACTACTACTACTACTACTACTACTACTACTACTACTACTACTACTACTACTACTACTACTACTACTACTACTACTACTACTACTACTACTACTACTACTACTACTACTACTACTACTACTACTACTACTACTACTACTACTACTACTACTACTACTACTACTACTACTACTACTACTACTACTACTACTACTACTACTACTACTACTACTACTACTACTACTATTACTGCAATAATAATAATAATAATAATGAAAATAATCCTGTGAAAATTATTTTCTTTTCTTCGGTTTCTTTTACTGATGCCATTATGTGATAGTTACAGTTAAGAAAGATAAATGAAGTGAATTATTTTAAAAAGAAATTTGAATTATCTTATTATATAGCATAGCATACAAATTAATAATTCTTAGAGCTATTAGCCACAAATGGATCAATACTATGGATAAAAAATATAGTGAACTCCTTTGAATGTATTATATTGAGATTTTTATTTACAAACATCATAAATTTGTCAATCAAAATTACCCCTCCAAGTTATTTTCATGACCAAGCAAGTCAGCGTAATAAAGTTAATTACTTTTTAAAAATTGGGAATTTTGTAATTTTTTTGATTGAGATCATGAACCGGTTGATGTTAGACCATCACAATTAAAAGCCTGGAAGCACTGGACGGCCGTTTCGTCCTATTGTGGGACTCCTCAGCAGTGCGCACCCACGATCACCATTGGATGCCGGCTCAGTGGTTCAGTTGGTTAAGCGTTCGCGCGCGACACCGAAGGCCCTGGGTTCGAATCCCGCTCGCGGGATCGTGGATGCGCACTGCTGAGGAGTTCCACAATAGGACGAAACGGCCGTCCAGTGCTTCCAGGTTTTTAATTGTGATGGTCTAACATCAACCGGTTCATGATCTCAATCAAAAACTTAATAATCTCCACAACTCCTATACTAGTAATTTAGTCATTCATGAGTCAACTCTATATGCGTAAGCATCATTTTCAATCTGCTATCCTTCCATAGTTCACATTTCTAATCTATTTTCACCTCATCATTTTTATGTGATTTTATAATTTTTTTTCGTGATACCTGAAATGTTCAAACATTATTAATGAATCAATCCCATTCTGTTTTCCAGTCAATTACTAATAAAAATACTTCACGTTTTTAAGCCAACTCTTACTTCTCATTGATTACTGTGATATGTTATCAGTAGAAAATTAACCTTATTGATACTTTTATGGGATGATCTGCATATCAGAATTTAAGATTAATAAACCGGATGTAAACTCAAATACATCATATTTGGAATTATAAATTTGTAGAGATTTAGGTTTTTCAATTCTCAATGACTTTGAATATATACATATATATGACTTTGTGTGGGAACATTGTGCAGCCTGTAATCAATTTATCGAATGCACATAGATTTGCGAATCTGTCACCATTCTTAATCTTTGCTCTCAGTCAGTTCATGTTGTCCCATGATATCTTCATATTAAGTGTTGTCCATTCCAACTTTGGCCTTTAGATCTCCCGTCAGGATTGTCATGTCTTTTCCTGAGCACTTCGCTATGATCGATTGCAGCCTCTCGTAGGATTGGTCTTTATTGTCGTCATTGCTATGATTGTTGGGTGCATAACATTGAATAACATTGGTTGTAATTTCCTGGTTCTTTGTTTTGAATAATCGTTTTATGATTCTGGAGAGGCGAGATTTCCATCATGTAAGTGCTCGTTGGGCTTGTTTAGACAACATCAGAGCAACTTCCTGAATGTTCGGGGCATTTTCCTCTCCGTGACCGGAGTACAGCAACATCTATTCTGAATCTACTTTTTTCTGCCCAGCTCGGGTAGAATGAATTCTCCTGATTCCGAGAATCATCAGATTTTGTCTTCTCATTTTCGTGGCTAGTTGACTGATCTTCCCGGTCTCCCACATTGTCCGAACATCTCATGTTCGTATATTAATTAATGCTCTGGTTGTTAGAAAGAGCGTCGACCTCGTAACTTCTGAAGAATGTCGGCCTTAATCATGAGACTTCATAATTCTTCTGAATGAAGATCGTTCAACTAGGAGGACAGAGTTTAAATGGTTAAAACTTTTAAATCTGGTTAGCGTTATTCAGCAAGGTTGTTTTCCATGTGATGGGGATTCTGAACCTATACTCAACCTTTCTCTTATTCGTGCTTGGGACCAGAAGAAATCCTAGAAGTGCTACAGGTGGAGTTATTTTAAGCAATAGTCTATCTTTAAAGCATATTCATCGCAGAAACACGATATTACAATGTCAACTAAATGTTTTACAGTTTAATAGTTTAAATATACAAAGTAAATTAAATTTTAAGGATAAGGACCGTCTCGGAATTTATCTATACAATAATCTTTTACCCATCTATGCAGCTTTCATTATATATGGTTCCATAAAATGAAAACACTAGTAAGGTTATAAAAAATATTACTGATTTTGTATAAAACTTCTTATTTATTTTCTTTATTTAAAGAAAAGAATATAGAGCTAAACAGTTTCATGAAAATTTTCTATTGAAACAATGTTTTACACGTTGGAGATGTACAATACGAATGGAGAAAGTAAGTATCTATGAAAGGCTAACTGTAACAAAATATTTCTCGATTTCTTAATATAATACTTAAAAGATTTTGTCTCAGAAATACTGTTTCATTATATTTTTCAGATACATAAAATCTTCACAAAGCCCCTTCTGATACTAATCAACATATGCTCACTATTGACTGGCCTCAAGAGGTATATGCCGGAGTTCTAGTGAGAAGTAGTGACCAGTGGAGTTCAACCGGGTCTGTTGTGAGATAGTAACTCATTGATGACGATGATAGATGTGTCGCTCAATTTCGTGGATTAGATGAAGTTAGAAACTAACACCGTTGAGTGCCGGACGCCGGTTTGGCGGTTAGACACTCGCGTGCGAAACCGATAGGTCTTGGGTTCGGGGTCGGTGTTGCGCACCGCCGGGGGTCCCACAATAGGACGAAATGGCCGTCCAGTTCTTCCAGATTTTCCATGGTGGTCTAGCATCGATTGACCCATGACCTCAACTATTGAAATGACTAAAATCTCCATCAAACTCCTCATACTGAAAACGTGTATATTTATTCGTTTTGTTATGTATCCAAATGCATTGATCTAAATCAAAATATATTATAACGTTCATGCAGATGCAAACAAAGATAATGTCAATTGTTTCTTAGAATCGCAGAATCAAGATCAACAGGTAAAGCTGTTAGTGGTATATGGTGAGGGTGAAATCGTTCACGTCTACCTGAAGTTTGTGCTGATGATATTGTTTACAATGACTAGGGAAATTTCATGATTAAACCATCCAAGATAGTGAATAAAACTTTATTAAATTCATCCACCTAACCTACAAGTCTTCTCCACTATTTCAATTACTGGAAGTTATATTGTAAAAGATATCTAGCTTCTTTTGTAGTTATATTCTTCTGGATTACATAATATTATGTGTAAAGTTTTTTTGGGGGGGAGGTTTACACCTATTTGTAATGGTCTTAATGATCATATTCCGGTCTTCGGTATTTTCTTCTCATAAGTCAGTAGTATTTACTTTAAAATACTTCAATTAGGTAGTAAATAAATTAGACAGTGTTGTAGAGTTCTATATAAAGTAGAGTTGATTCCTTTTTATGAATGGACATTAACTAAATAACATTTCCCAAATATTTAGAACGTTATAACTATTTTAAATTAATTTCAGACCTTTTGTAAACAAAATAACCTACCTGGAAAATATTATTCATTATTCCCTATATATATGTGATATGATTATATATTGTATTGTTAATAACTGTAGACTTTTCACTATCCATCCTTGCTTATAAAGCTTGTGCCTTAAGGCAATATCTAGACAGTCCGCGCAGGATGCACATATGTCAATAAGAGACTGATCAATTTTAGTTCTAATTACCAATGTGAAGATACAAGTAAAGAACATCAAGTGAATTTAAAACTTCACCTCATTACACAAACTAGTGGCTATCAGGACTCAGTAAGGAAGTGGATAACGCAATAGCGTTTGAAGTGAACGGTACTGGGTTCAAGTCCCATAGTGAACATCAACTCTGAGATGCAGGTACATCCAGCTGACGAGTTTAAAATAGGACGAAACGAGCGTCCACGATTCCATTGCTGGCCACTATCCATCTTTGCTTTTCAGATGTACATTTCTCAAATATATATACCTAAAAAGTTTCGGATAAAAATATTTTTTGTATTGTTGGTTACAGTGATATAGTATATATGACCTTAACTAACCAGACAATACATTTATTTCACATCAGTTGTGTAGAAGATTATATCCTTCATTCTTTTACAATATTTTTTTTCACAGTCAACTCGTGATCAGTTAGAAAAAGAATCATTCAGACGTGAAAAAGAAATCGAATTTCTCAAACATTTAGATACTTTAATGAACAATCATCAAACTAAAACATTAACATCTGATAATGATAATATTAATACTACTAATAATAATAATCAAAATAATGAAACTATACCATTTGGTAATCGTATATGTTTAACTGATAGAAAATCACAAAAATTAAAGGTAATTAATTACATAACTTATTTGGTGAATGAAATTTCACATACTATTTTAATTATTAATTAGTTGAAGTTAGACATTAACACCGTCGGATGCCGGCTTAGTAGTCTAGTGGTTAAGTGCTCGAGCGCGAGACCGATATGTTCCGGGTTCGAACCTCGCAGGGCTGAGTCGAGCAGGAGGAGTCCCACAACAGGACGAAACAGCTGTCCAATGCCTTCAGGTTTTCCATGGTGGTCTAGTACCAATTGATATTAATTAATCTGCTAACCACTAAACAAATATAATAAAAAAATATAAAATTAGTTTATATTTTCTTGAATTGAAGTAGTAGATTGGATAACTTTATAAGCAAAGTTGGATGGTGGCTAACAGTGGAATCCAGTTTGACGCACTTTTCGTTCTATTTGGGACTCTTCAGCTGGATGTGCCTGCTAGCCACCATCTAACTTTTCTTATAAAGCTTATGAATTAAGGCAATATCGAGGCAGTATGCAAAGAATGCACATATACCAATGAGAGACTGATCAACTACAGTCTTAAGCAACAATGGGAAGATATAAGCAAACAATACCAAGTGAATTTAGATTGTATAATTTTGAATGTCTCTTGGGACAATATCATCACTAGTTACATTAATTAGCTAAAGTTTATTTAAGGTATGTGTTAAGAAGTCCGAAATATTTTCCCCGTCAAGTTCTCTAGATGCACAGAAAAATGTTAGAAACGTCTTATCTAATCAGAATTAAGTAGAAATCTACCAGAAATATTTGGGAAACTGAAGAATCATGGATCACATTTTCGATTGGCTGATTATCTATACCTTTACTATAATTTGCATGTTTCCATAATTTTTTGGGAGAGTTCTGTCACGTGGAACTCTATAATGTACACTCAAGTTTTTGTACATACCCGACCTTGAAGTATAGTTTTTCATTACATTTCTTATCTTCTTGTTGGGGAGATACAGAAAAATCCTCTAAAAAGCAAAAAAAGGCTCTGCAAACGCTGAGAAAGGTCTTATCTAATTAGGATTCGACAGAAGTTTTGCCAGAAACATTTAAAAAGTGAAAATTCACGTATCACGTTTCTGATTGGATGATTACCTATACTGCTACTATGTTTAGTAGCGTTCAAGAAATTTCCGGGAAACCAAGATCATCTAAAATACTATAAATACCCTAGATTTTCTGTGCATAAATGAACATTTGTAGTAAAGTGTTTCTTCCACTTATCTCAGCTTTTCTCTCATGTTCAAGTCGCTGTGTAGATTTAGCCTGGGGGCTAATAGAAGAGCTTAGTAACCGAATCTAGCTTTCAATTAGAAGACTCATCACTTCCCCCTATTATTTGAGCTGATAATCTTAAAAAGATTACAGATAGTGATGCCTGAACAACATACTGAATATATAAACCTGTATAAAATAATTTAGCTTAGCCAGTTGAACATTATGCTAAAATGACTTAACTTTAAAAATTGGAAATATGTTTACAAAATAAACCTCAGATGATTTTCAAAAAAATGCATTTGAATTAAGGTAGGCAAAATTCAATCGTTTAATTTCACTAAAGTTTGAGTTGCTCTTTAAGAAATTGATACTATTTTCACATAAAATGTTCCAGTATTTGTATCTTGTCATTGACAGTAAGGACTGTAGCTGATCATTTATTTATGGCACAATCACATCTTGAACGAACTGTCTTGATTTTGCCAAATATTCACACTTATCTTGACAAAGTTAGATAATGGATAACAACTGAATCCAGAACTGATGCGTACCAAAAAGGACAAAACTCTCATCCTAGGCCTCCGAGTGAACTACTACTTAGCTCTGTTAGAATACTTTATCATATTATTTTGTCTTAAAATTCCTATTTTATACATACAAAATGCTAAGTGATCACAAACTATGATAGTTATTAATTGGTAAATGACTTTATTGTCTCTAATTGTTATCTACCTGAAGTTTCTGCTGATGATGTCGTTCAGAAGAATGATGAAAGCTCCACAATTAAACTTTCCAGCTTAGGGAATAAAACTCTATCAAAATCATCGACGTGAACTATAAATCTTCTCCACCATATCAAATTGTCTTCTCCATTATTACTATCAATAACAAAAGATTTTTATTTATTTAGTTACTTATTTTGGTCAGATATATATCCGATTATATTTAATTAACATTAGAATGCTCATCCAGACTGTATTTTCTGTTAGAACACATTGATAAGCTCCGTTTGTTTGGTGGTACTTTTATTAGCATAATAACTAGAATGATTATTTTGACTTTAGCATTTACTAAAGCATTTATTCATTGTCTTAAATAACAGCAACAACAACATCACTCAATTAACTTTAATGATAGATTGTTGTAATTTGTATTGTCATGTTATTTACTTATCTGTTATTATAAGAGATGCTTGTTTCTTAATAGTCAGTCAGTCATTCAGCTACAATGTAGGACCAGGCACATATGTGCATCGGTCCAGGTTGCCATACCTCATTAGCACAGAAAGATGAATACCGGATTCATAGGAGTGGTTAGGTCAAAGGTGGTAATATATAGGAGAAAGATTGCAATAAGGATATAGTATAGGAAGAAAGAATTAGTTAGTAGAAAGAAAGAAAGATATGAAGTGATTTTAATCTCTTAGTTTAAGGGAAGACAGGGAGTGTACACACCAACGCCATTGTGATCGATTCTGAGCCATGTCTCCAAGAGTCTCCAACCATTGGTTACGATAGTCACGCGGACCCCAACCAAGTAGTCTACATCTATCAACGTGGCTCAGACTACAAGTTAGTAACTTCAAGCAGTGATGCCACGTTTTGGTTTATCCACCCCTAACTTTCTTCCAATCATCCCCTACACTATTCAGGAGACTGATATGCTATAATCTCATTGTAATTTTTGTAAAGTTCAGTGATATATGTTCCCATTGATCTTTCAGCAAATTCATTATTATCTTGTGAATCCTGTTTCATGAATTCCAGATGGTAAATACCAACAAAGCGTGTTTGAAATCAGAGAATTCATCTCCTTCAATTGAAGACTTGATATCTGATAGTTTCACTCTGGATCATTATAAAAGTGATAAAAAAGTTAGTCCATTATATTAATTCTTAGGGATAATGTCTGCTTTTATCATGTTTTTATTGTTTTAACTTAACATAGAACCAGCATAGTGAATTATAGTGTACCGTTTGATTTTTCGGAAAAATGTAGAAAATTTTTAAATTAAATATTCCATGAAAAATATAGAACACATAAAACTGAGTCAAAGAATATTTCTTGCAAATTAGATTTACATCAAAGCCTTGCATAAGTATTGCAACTGAATATAAAGTCGACACTAAATAAATGACTATTGTAGTGTGTGCTACTTATATTGAAATAAATAGAAGATGATGTTTGTCGTGAATAGAAGGTCTGGCAGCAGAGAGACAAGAGGATCGAACAGTAAAGAATGGAAACAGAATGCATTTTGTATGAAAATGGAAGAACAATCAGGTCTGAGTCATTTTGAGACAAATGATAGATATTTTGTAAATTAGGCATTTACTTTATGATTGTTAGATTTTATTACCAAGTCCTGTAACTTTGTATCAAATACATTCGATTATATCCAACGGTGTTCTCGTTCACTGCACTATAAGTTAAATTACAGTAACTGATTGTATAGTTGTAAAGTTCAAGGTTTATTTAACAGCAAACTAAAGTAAATTATTAACAGAATACATTATAATTACCAACAGAAGACTTGAAATGTTTTGTTAAGTGGTCAACTAGAATTGACGCAATAATTATTTAATGTCGATATACCGATACTTTTATAGTTGATTCCGGTCAGGAGGAAATAGTAGTTTTAGGTTTCCTGCTAGTCGAGACTCATCACAAGGTGTACCTGAAATCTAATGGGAAGTGATGTTTCTTGTAAGACTAGGATTCACCTTACCCAGCTTCAGAGTCTGGGACGGAAACACTGAGGTATTTGAGGCTTAACTGAACATCTGTTGAACTGAGATATATACAAAGGGTTCATCATTGAGTAGTTACTTTAGTTATGTTTGTTTTGGATGCCGTTCGGCTCAGTGGTCTGGTGGTTAAGTGCTCGCACTCAAAACCAGTAGGTCCTGGGTTCGAATCTCCCGAAGGGGGCAAGGTCGTGGATGCGCACTACTGAGGAGTCCCACAGTACGAAAAAACGACCGTCTAGCGCTCCCAGGTTTTCCATGGTGGTCTAGCCTCAATCGACTCATGTTCTCAACTATTAAAATTGATGTATATATTAGCTTGATCTTTCTTTTTATTTAAAATTCTAGATTAATCGAATACTATCTGCTCAATCAAGTGTAATGAAACCAATTTTAAATCAAACTATTATACAACAACGTAATATTATTGCTGCACAAAATCGTGAAATTAATGCATTAAAAGCAGCACATCGTTATTCTGAATGGTTATTAGAAGCACGAGCACATAAATTAGCTAAAACTATAATAGAAAAAGTAAAAGAATGAATTTGTTTCTCTTTGAAATTAAACCATGAATCATTACCAAAACTTCTTTGTTATTGTCCATAGTTTTCAAACTTATTATCATGTTATTTCATTATTTATTTTAAGGAATGACTGAAATATGTTTCCAGTTGAATAGATAACTTATGGTTAGCAGTAAAAATCAAGATGATCATTTCGTCTTGTTCCGTATACGTCAGTTCAATACACCCTGAACCCATATTGACGTTCAAACCAGATCTAGAATCGAGTATCTATCATTTTAAGTGTCAGTTCGTTATTCACCCAGTTTACTACCAATCTGTTTATTGAAGATGTTATTAATATTGTTATTAGTATAGGTTTGAATTACTCTGTTATCGAAATTCAACACAGAAATTTCGATCAATCTTTGTTGGTAAATACATATCCTGCTTATATTGCATTGATATAATCGTTCCACTGTTAGCCACAATTCATCTCTTCTAAATAATTTGTAACAAAATGGTTACATTAAGACTGTTCGAACAGGATCTACATTTACTAGAAATGACTAATCAAAATACATTATTGAATAAAAACAATAAGATAAACTCTAACCAAAAATGAATAGTGGCTAGCAGTGGGATTCAGGATGCGCGTTTCGTCCCAGTTGAGACTCGTCTGATGGATATACCTGCATCTGAGTTGATGATCACTCTGGAACTCGAACCCAGTACCGTCCACTTCAAACGCCATCGCATTATCTACTTATCTACTGAGTCTTTGCTTATAATGGTTGTAAATTAAGGGAATATCGAGTTAATATGCACAGTATGTACATATGCCAATAAGAGATTGATCAATTGCAGTCCCAAACATCAATGGGAAGATTCAAGTAAAAAAAAATCAATACCAAGTCAAATAAACTCTAATCCTTACTAATAATAATATGTTTCTAAGTTATTAAATAGTAATAACATAATATCTATATTTAAATCTTTTTGCTTTAGACTAATACAAAAATTAATGAAGCTGATAAATCTTCCTCTGAATTGAATGAATCATTAGTGCACGTTGAAAATGGTACAGATGATCAAGTTCATTCTCAACTAATGTAAGTCTTCAATTTTTCCTAGATGTAATATTATTCGTTAATCAAAAATGCAATCAAGTTCCTAACATTTGAGTCATTATAATTTTGAAAAATTATTGCCAATGTGATAGCGATTTGTAATTACACAAATATTCAAGTGACTGATTTACTAACTAGATTCCCGATGTTAAATTTGGTTAATAGACAACCAGGAATAATGTTTTGAAAGTATAATCGTTCATGCGACGCTGTCTTATCTCACTAAAAATTAAATCGAGACACGACAATTGTCGACTACTCCTTGATTATCAGTAACTCATTAGTTGATAACAGTTAATATCAAGTTGAACATATATCTGAGGTAAACCAAGTTAGATATTCATGACGTCAACGTCCATCTTGATTCGATCTTAATACAGTTGTGAACAAATATGACCAGGTCTATTTGGGTTTGATTAATGAACATTTCACCAAAGTTTGTACATGGTGATTAAGAATGACTATTTCAAATTGATCATTTGTAATTATTTTAAAAAAAATGGTCAAAGATTGCTCTCCTGAACCTGGTTCATTTCAAATTTATACCTGAGGATTAATGCAGCCACTAATCAAAGTGTACAGCTTAGTTAATAGTTTTACTACATATACTTTTTAAAATAAGTGGAGCTATGGTAAACTTAATATGGAGAACTTCATTATTTGATCATTGAACTTCCGAGACAAGTCAATTTTCGTTCTTCTAAATTTTGAATTGTTTTTCTTTTAACATTGCTTACTTTCATATATATCGCAGTCTTACTTGTCTCTATTAAAGTAGTACATTTTTCTGTGTTTCATTACATACCAGTGTTGATATCATTATTTCCATAAGTTCACTCTACAATTTTTAGATCTTGATAATTTCATTTTGATAATTTTTTTTCCTGATATAAGAAAAGAAAGGCGTAGATCTAGAAAATATTCACACAAGGTTATGTAATTCTGAGCAAAGATGGATGCTGGTTAGCAGTGGAATCCAGGATGCATATCTCGTCTTATTTGGGACTCGTCAGCTAAATGTACCCGCATCTAGGTGTTAATGTTCACTCCAGGACTCTAGGCTATTACTGTTCGCTCTAAACGCCAAATCTTTATCCATTTAGTTGTTGAGTTCTGTTAGCCATTTGCTTGTTCAATAGGGCGAGGTTTAAATTCATTTGGTATTATTTGTTTGAATCTATCTTTGTTTAGAATGCTTGTAACTTAGTATAATATCGAGGTAATTCGTACAGAATGCATATATGCCAATAAGAGACTGATCATTTACAATTCCAAACATCAATAAGAAGATCCAAATAACTAATACAAAATGAATTAAAGGTTACGTAACGTTGAGACGGTGGAGAAAATTGTTTAGCTCAAGTGGGTGATTTTGATAGAGCTTTGTTTTCTGAGCTGAATGGTTTGGTCGTGAAGCTTTCATCGTTCTTCTAAACGACATCATCAGCACAAACCTCAGGTAAAAGTTCATACTGATGATGTCGTTCAGAAGAACGATGAAAGCTCCACGACCAAACCATCCAACTCAGAGAACAAAACTTTGTCAAAAGTTATATAATGTTTTTTCTACTGACCAATAACTGAAAAGAATTATTATTATTATTCAATGATTATCTTTAATTCATTCTTAATCATACTCAAAAGCTTGCTCACTTACGCTTGTTAATTCACGTGGAGGAGCATAGGCCACCCACCAGCACTCGCCATCCAACACTGTCCTGAGTAATCCTTTCCATCTCTTTCCAGTTGTTATTCATCTTTTTCATATCTGATTCTATTTCCCAACGTAATGTGTTATTTGGCCTTCCACTTCTCCGCTTAAATTCAGGATTTCAAGTTAGCTCTTGCCTCGTGATGCAGTTTGGTGATTTGAGTAATATATATCCCATCCATTTCCATCGTTTTTTCCTAACTTCCTCTTCAACTGGAAGCTGGTTTGTTCTCTCTCACAGAAGGCTGTTACTGATTTTATCAGTCCAATCGATGTTGAGTATCTTGCGTAGACAACTATTTATAAATGCTTCACCTTCTTGATGATGATTGTAGTAGTTCTCGAAGTTTCAGCTTCGTACAGTAGAACTGCTTTGACGTTCATATTGAAGATTCCCACTTTGATATTGATTAGAAGTTGTTTTGAGTTCCATATGTTGTTTTCAATTTTAGAAATGTGGATACTCAACACAAAACTATTTATATTTACTATTCTATACATATCATTAAAATAATTTACATTTCTTGACCCTTTTTTCTTATTCTTCTTCTTATTAACAAGATCAAACGAAATGAAATGTCCCATTAATGATAATCATTTAATGACAAATGATTTATCAGGATCAATTCCTTCAAAAACTATATCGATTAATAAAAAAAACTCATTTATTCAAAGTAAGTCTATAAATTTATGAATGTACAATGATCTTTAGTGAGATTATAGTTTAAGGACGAACCAATCAAATTTAAGGTAAATGATCTTGAATTTTAACGCGGAATTCACTCATCACTTTGTCCAAATAACGTCTTGGCATTCTAGCTGATGTCAGTTCGTGATGAAAACCATAAATCTAAATCCTAAACCTTACCATTAGTTGTAAATCATTATCTTTATTCTTTAAACTGCTTTATACTCCTCATTTAGCCATAGTAAGTAGGTAGACACTCTCAAGGTCATCTTAGCGTCGCTCAAAGGTCGTCCATAATTATAGTCTTACTCAATCTTTTCATTTAGGTATGATGATGTAACATACTAAAAAAATTTAAACACTAATTATTTGTAACCCATAACCTATAATCATCTGCTCACTAGTGACTGACTTCAGGAGATACTCCTGGAGTTCTAGTGATAAGTCGTTACCAGTGGAGTTCAACCAGGTCTGTTGTGGGATAGGAACTCACTGAAGACTATGGTCTACGGTGGCGCAACTTCGTGGGTCGGTTGAAGTTAGACATTAACACCTTAGGATGCCGGCTCGTTGGTCTAGTTGGTTAAGCGCCTGGCGCGAGACTGGTAGGTCCTGGGTTCGAGTCTCGTGGGGGGAGCGGGATCGTGGGTGTGCACTGCTGAGGAGTCCCGTACTAGGGCGAAACGACCGTCTAGTGCTTTCAGGTTCTCCATGGTTGTCTAGGTTCAATTGACTCATGATTTCAACCAGTGGGATTTTATGTATTGATTATTCAAAATTGTTTTCAAATTAGGTTTCCTGTAAATTACACTACAATGTTATGCCACTTAAACAATATTTATTAAATATTTCTACTCACCTTCGTTATATCACGTAACAGAACTGTCAATTTAATTAATCATCATCACCATAATAATAATATAACCATTATTATAAATTCTTCAATTAGAAACACACAATAACATTGTTTGGACAATTTATATTACTATGATGTATATTTCACTTCATCATTCTAACTATGATCTCAGGTATGTCGGTCTAGTGCGTAATTGTGGCTAGTGATGCTCAATTCAATGATGAGTGAAAGAGATATCACCTACAGTAGTGAATAAAGATGATACAATGTCATAACACGACTAAAGTGATATATACAGATATTTAGATGCTGACTCAATGGTCTAAAAATGCTGAGCTTATCATATAGCCTTTTGGTTTTGGGTTTGATGCCTAATGGTGTCACAGTTCTTCACTAGGATGAAACAACTGTCGAGTGCTTCTTAGTATTTAATGGTTATTTAAATAGATTCATTACTTTATGTAAGCTGTCTTCATCATGAACAATATCCAAAAGCCTTCTGTTTTAATGCATTATACTTTTTTTATTAAATTATTCCATTGAACTAGTAAGTTTGTATGTATCTAGGGTAATAGTAAGTAAGTGGAATACATTTCACTCCTCAATCCTGTTTTGCTTAAACTTACAAAAGGAACCAATAGAAGGCAAATGACATGTTAAGAAGTTGTATTTTAATTAGAAATTATTATAAATGTGATAGTATAAAAACTTTTAATTGAACTTGTCTTATTGTCAAGTATGTTTTTGTATTACCATGATAACATGATCTGTTCAATATATCAACCAACTGAATTATGTGACTTCAGAAATACCCTCATGGAATTTCTAAAATGTTGAATGATATTAATAACAATAAAACATTCAAGAAAAAAAAAAACTTTTAATTTTAAGTAAACCGAGCTTTTCATTAATATCTGTGATGATTGAAAGGATAACATATAGCTAAAACTATAATCAACTTCTTGTGTTTGAAATTAAAGTTAAAGATGTGCATTTGGTTTTGCTTTTCAGTTACACATTAGCTTTATTACTGATTCTTAATGAAACGAATTCTCTGTAGATTATGATTAAAACGAGACCTTTTGATTTGAGAAAATTATGTGCCTAATTTATCACCAAGTTATTAATATCTGATCTGAATATTGCGCTGAATGATAAATTCCTACTCAAACACTCAATTCCTTATGGTGTGTCATCAATAGTGATGAATGATAGTTCAACTGTTAAGATATTGATTATAACTTCTTAAGACTTCTGGAAATGATATAAACTGAAGAAGTGTCTATAGAAGAAGTGTATTATTACACATAGGGAGTATTTTAAATGGATTATTGTCGATCTATCTTAGAATATGTAAGATCAGTTAAAGTATTACAGGGAATTTATCTATTATGACTATAGCAGAACTATTACAACACTGATAAATGGATTACATTGGACACTCTCCATAAACCATAGTATTATCAACTGACAATACCTATCTTGTAATAATAACAAGTTGCATTACTTTTAAAAATAAAATAGGAAAACTATTTTGAGGATTTACAGTGATTAGTTTAATAACAAGATACACCATCCAAAGTTATTACCATATGTGTTTTTTACCCGTATTGAATTACTAGTTTATGTCAGATACTTATAGATTACTTATGGAATAATTTCTTACACCCTTTTAAGAAATGGAAGAAAGAGCAGCTGAACGTGCTCGTCGACGTGCATTACAAGAAGAAAGAAGACGTGAAAATGAACAAAAGAAAAAAGTAGGCATATTTCTAATTTATTTTATTCATCAGTCTATAATAACAGTTTACTGATGAGAAATATGACATGACTAAAATTGCATATGACAACAATCTTTACACCCAGTATATTAGTTAAAAATTTCTATATAAGAAAACAGTAATTACCATTATGAATCAGTGTTCATTATTCTTAATCTTTCTCCAACTCTACTCTACATTAGTCAACATAGCAACTAGACATAGATAATAGTTGCGTATATTAAACAATTTTAAGATTATGCATAATGTGTAAATGAAGTCAAATACATCACCATTTGGATTAGTTGTGAAGTGGAGATGATCTATTTGTACTTTTAAAGAGTAAAAGTGATTGAACAAAGAATTTTACGTAATGAACTTGTAGTGGCTGTGCTTCGATAACTAATCACCCTCGAACCGTTATCGTACAATCTTCAACTATGTTTGAGATCAGAAGGTGAAATGTGTATTCCATACAAGCACAATAGTAATAACAGTACAACAAGTTGTTATAGTATGGATGGCTTTGTCGATTAAATAGGTCAACAAAAGATCTTGACTGAACTAAACTCAATTGCACGTGAGTCGCTATAAACTATTTACATGATTGTAAAAGTCGACGTGACTCCTTATGATAAATAGAATACTCTTTTGTTATTTATAAGAATATTTCTGACTGTGCTTTTTTTCTCATAACCAAAGGAACAGTTAGCTAAACAGTTAGAAGAAGAAGCTAACAGAATCAAACAAGAAAAGATAATGTTGAAGAATGAACAAAAAGAAAAGAAGATTCGTGAAGAAGAGGTTGTCATTACTGTAGATGTTTTGTTGAGTTATTCAGACATTTCATGTATATATATATATAAAACAGGATATTGGTATAGTGTTTAGAGATTAATTGGTGAGACTATAATTTATAGACGATATTTAAGCTGACGCTAAAGTGATGTTGAGAGTGTTAACTTAATAACTAGTACCAAATGAGGGTTATGAAACATTGTGAGGAATTAGAATTATGATTTTAGAGTTGATGGTTAAGGCTAAGAATTAGATTTACGGGTTTTCATCACGAACTGACATCAGTTATAATACCGAAACTCTATTTAAGCAAACGGATGAGTGAATTTTGGGTCAAAATCCGAGACCTGTTATCTTTTGCCTGATTGGTTCGTCCATAAATTATAGTCTTGCCGATTATTTGGTTTTTTGGTTTACTATACGAAGTGACCAATGTTAGACAAATATTGAAAACTAAGAAGAGCTGAATAGATGTATTGTTTGAGCATGAGATTTCTCAGCATTTAAAATCTATGATACTTCCGAAATCCCAACTCAAGACTCTCAAATCCGTGAGACCCGTAAGTCCATAAGTTTGAATTCATTAGTTCGCATTTTCAACTTTGTTCAACTTATGGTTTCCTATTTAATTTAATTTTTTTTAAACTGATTTTCTTCGCGAATCGGCATGGGAAACTAGGGAATTCTTCTTTTTGATTAAGATCATGAACCGATTGATGTTAGACCATCATTGAAAACCTGGAAGCACTGGGTGGCCGTTTCGTCCTGTTGTGGGACTTGTCAGCAGTACGTATCCACGATCCTACCCGCGGGACTCGAACCCAGGGCCTTCAGTTTCTCATGAGAACGCCTAATCTCTAAACCACCATTGAACTCCACGAGCGGAATCGTGGATGCACACTGCTGACGAGTCCAACAATAGGACAAAACGGATTTCCAATGCTTTCAGGTTTTCAATGGTGGTCTAACATCAATCGATTCATGATCTCAATCAAAAACTTAATAATTTCTACAACTATACTGAAATTCTCTTTGTCAGCTTGAAGTTTGAATGGGTTTAATTCTGTTTGAATTGCTGAATGTTAATTTTTTTCGGACAAATTACAATCACGTAAAAAACCCAGTTAATCGTTCAATTGACTTTCATCTCTCTAATGTTTCCTCTACTGATAATAGCTTACAACAAAATGTTATTGTTAAATTGCATGAAAGTCACCAAATAGTGTCAATCTTATGCGGGATCATGGATGAGCACTACTGAGGAGTCCCATACTAGGACGAAACGGCCGTCCAGTGCTTACAAGTTTCCCATGATGGTCTAGCTGCAATTGACTCATGATTTCAATCAGTAAGATTTCTAAAATCTCCACAATACTCCTTCTGATAATCTTATGTTTGTTTATTTTTAGTTAAAACAACAAAAAGAAAAAAAATTAGCTTATCAACGTGAATTGAACTTAAAAGTTACTATGCATAGAAATATTTCGTGTTTACGTTATTATGGCCTTAAACCATGGATAAACTATGTATTAAAACAACATGAATTAATTCAAATGGCTAATTGTTATGAAAAGAAAACAATAATGAGGTAATTTATACTAGATGATTTTATTTTTCATACGATTCAACATATTTGTAATCTCTTGACTTCGAGATAATTTCTTAGGTTTCATTTATTCATCACTTTGATAACCGTTCAATCAGTCAGTCAGTAACAACGCAGAAATTCGTACGAACGTACATCAGTTCGAGTTGCCATACCACATTAGCACAGAGATGTAGTTGTCCATTCAAATCCCGTTTTTAAAAATAAATCTCAACGGTGTATAAATTCAAAAAGCAACATAATGAGCCGATTACAGTTTATTATTTGATAGTACAGATAAGAAAGTTTACAAGCTCACTAAGCGAATTTGATCAGAAAGGTTAATATGTGGAGTAAGTGAATATAGAAGCGTATTCAGAGTCAAATCGAATTGAAGCGAAGCAATTAATAAGATTCAAGCACATATATACATATGGTAAAGCGAATGATTCATCGAGCGATAATTAAGTGACTAACATTTAAAGTAGAATGAGGCAATATATGCGTAGACTGTCACATATAATCAATCAGACATTTTAATGATCATATTAATAAATAAACAACTTGTAACTGTTTAAACAAAACTATCGATTAAATGAGTTAATTGAACAGCTTGACAAAATTAACCGTAAACAAACTTAGTAATAGAAGAGGTGTTATATGCTGGGTTTGAAGCGGTTACGAGTTCACTTAATCTGCGAACAAGAACAAGACTCGGTGACCAAAGACCAAGAAGCTAGCTATTTTATTTGTCCCAGCCCCGCTAACTAGAGGAAGAAGTTCAAGCTTGAAATGGGGAAGTATATTCCGCAAAAGCCGGAAGCACGAACGATTACAACAGACACTAATCAAAACGTATATATACAGCAAAAAAACCGTCCTTGGGAAGATTTACAAAATAGCATACTAAAAGATACAACGGACCAATGACATTGTTTACTTCTTTTCTTTCGTTGTATCTCCCATTGGTTTGATTTTTGTTCCTATGTTTGACAATGACAGGCTTAAGGTCAACAAGAATTAATCAACATCGAAATGTACAGGACAAGCTGTGAACCACATGTGGGGGAATTCTAACACTTCACTTATACTCGACGTTTGTGCCGATGATGCTCTACGATCAAACCATCCAACTCAGAGAACAAAACTCCATCAAAATAATCCACCTAAGCTATACATCTTCTCCACCATCTCAAAATACATGAAGTTAAGCTATATGCGTTGTCATTTGAATACATTGATACATAGTTACAAAGTAGAGGAAAATCACCATTCGTTGTTCATATATTTCTTATAATTCTTAAAAGTGATCATAATTCATAATGAAAATTACATTGATATATGGTATCTTATTAATTTTATTATAAATTTCCTGCTTTTCATCACATTTTTTCTTCACAGAAATGCATTTCACACTTGGTTACTACATTTAAAAATTAAATATGAACAAGAAACTAAATTTATTCAATGTCATTACAATGTATCACTAATGAAAAAGACTATAAAAGCACTTCAGAAGGTTAGTTTCATTGAATTGAATTTACTTTAATTGAAATACATTTCATTGTGTAGCTTAATTAATTCAAACCAAATTGTTTATTCAAAGATGATATGATAGTGTACATGCATAATATCAACATTAAGATTTAAATAATTAAAGATTACTTAGTTACTTACTTATGCCTGTTACTCCTAATGGAGCATTGGCCGCCAACGAGCATTCTCCAACTCACTCTGTCCTGGGCCTTCTTTTCTAGTTCTATCCAATTCTTGTTCATTTTTCTCAAGTCTCTCTCTCCATTTCCCGGCGTAATGTGTTCTTTGGTCTTCCTCTTTTCATTTGGCTTTGAAGATTCCGTGTGAGGGCTTGTCTTGTGATGCAAATGAGTACTTTCCTCAATGTGTATCCTATCCACTTCCAGCGCTTTTTACTGATTTATTCGTCCGCTGAGGTCCGATTTGTTCTCTCCCATAGAGAAACCGGAGTCCCTTAGGGGGCTACTGATGGTCCTAAACCCGGAGAAGGGGGGAGGATTGGGAATGGGGTTAGTGACTACATCCCGTAGGAAACCAACTCGCTAAAAAACGCTAACCAGAAAAAAACTATTCAGACCATTTAAACTCTGCCCTGGTAGTCAGAGGGTCTTTATTTAGAAGAGTATGACGCCTCATGATGACGATGATGATGATGAGATATGAACTAAGTGTTAGTTGATGATTAATTTTGACTGTTGGGATGAAGACTTCTTTTAAAAAATCGCAAAGAAAAATCAATGTGAATCTCTTTCATTAATTATATATCTCGGGCTTAACTACGTATTTCATTTTCAATTTTTTCTAAACAAAAGTAAGTAGAATCCACTATTAAATTATCTATTATTGAAAAGTTTCTAGGAAGATACATAGAATGGTGGAGCAAAATTTGTAGCTCAGGTGGATGATTTTGCGGATTAAATAAAATCTCATTGAATGTTTCACCTCAAAGATGTGTTCAACTCCTAGATTGAAAAAAGTGGAATATGTTTGAAAATAGTTTTGCTATGGGAAATAACATACTCAATAATAATTTACGAGTCACTAACCAATAAGGTGTCCAAATGTCATTCACATTATCAAAAATCCAGTTAAAGTGAATATGATTCTTTTAAATAAATGAATAAGAATAAAATTACAGCACGAATATCGTTAATTTGCACATAAGCATGCCAAGTAGAATTATCAGCAACCAATGAAAACAAAACATAGAAAGGTCACTCAAAATTAACAAAACTTCAAAGAGAAGCGGATGCAAATACAATTAAACAATGTAAACAGTAAGTCATACTGTGGTGAGCAGAAAAGCTAACTGAAAAATAAAGTAAGAGCACAAAAAGATGAAATGAGTGGTTTGTTCGGTAAATAGATCATAAAAATACTGGAGTATATCTCAAACTACTGATTATTAATAAGTAATATCGATTGATATACTAAATAGTCGAGGCTAATAAAACGCGATAAATAACAAGTCAGGAAAACGCTTTTACCACTTCGAAACTCCACATTACATAGCGAATCAATGTTTCGGCAGGAACCTATCCTTTATGAAACTATACAGACCTTTCCAAGCACGATATACTTTAGTTGCAATTAAACATTGTTAAATGATGAATGGTACATCGAAGAAATATTCAGTCGAATAGAAGTCTAGTCAATCACTTTATGCTTCTAACTACTCTATTATAACTACCCCGTCGGACTTTAACACATTTTTTATCGTTCATAGTCAGAGAGAATCACTTCGAGTGGCTTTATCGATAGCTTATAGTGGTTTTTGTCGATGCATTTATATGATATTAGATAAAGTGAATCAAGAGTTCTTTGAAGATCATTTATTTTAATATTAGCAGCTTCTTCTGAGCTAAATGCTACAGCCATTCTGCACTGATTCCTCTCCTACACAACACTACCAACAGTAACTTCAATAATGAGTTAGTACATATTCCATAAGGAATGTGATTATGATGAGAATGATATAGTCTTGAAAGGCAAGAGGACGTGATGATTAAATCGTACAGATAGGAAAACTCAACTTAAAAATACTTCCTGTGAACTATAGATCTTTTT